GGGATTGAACCATGGTCCCTGTGCTATGCTAAGCTTGTTCTAAGTAGGTGCTTTAGACCACTGAGCCATCTCATCAGCCCCCTCTCTGTAAATTTTTATTTATTTATTTTGTATTTCAGAGAAGGGTCTATAGAGTGTTCAGGGTCTCACTACTAGATTGAACTTGTAGTGATCCACCTGTTTACAGCCTCCCAAGAGTGGGGATTACAGGTGTGTGTGCCACCACGCCCAGTTTCAATTGTCTTCTCAGTGTGCCCCAGGGGTGGGGCCGGCTCAACAGGCCTGTGGATCAAACCCCTGGTCCCTGCGCCTGCTTGCATGTAAACATTTTGTATGAGTATCTATATGAGTATTATGACAATAGTAATATTAAATTTTCAAGGAGAACAATAATTTGTTGAAAATATATATCATTATAACTAACCCACATGGGTTATTTTAGAGTATATTATAAAAAGAAACCCTTATTTTAAACAAAATTTTGAAAATTGGCCATTCTTTTTTTTAATTATTTTTTTTGACAACTCATACAGAATTTTACTTAACAAAGTAATATGCATTTCACAGTATTTGTTGTAATACATGGTATTGTCTTATAACCAGCTATTCATATTACCAGATATTGGAAGAAGAAAAAACTGGAGCAATGTATAAGAAATTAAGAAAAGAAAAAGTACAAAAAATTGAAAAAAAGGAGATGAAGCTAATTAGAGCATTGACTGCTTCTTTCTATTTCCTTTTTTTTTCTTTTAAAAAAATTTTTATTTATTCATTTATTTTTTTTGTCCTGTCAGAGGTGAATATTCTATTGGCATCTAAATACTGTAAGTGTTTGAATTCAACTAAACATTTAATACTGTCTAGCAGTCTATAATATTAGTGGGTTATCCTCAGAAGTTATTGACTTGAGCCTTTTACAGCTCATTGTACTAATATGGATTTACTTTATAAACCTCATTTTTAGACTTTTCTACTGGATGGTTAAGACCAAGATATAGCAAGACCTATATACCCAGAATTGTAACTTTTGTATCTGATAAGGTCAGTCAAGTATTCTCAGGATTTATCCTGTAGCCCTGTACCACCTTTTGTACATTCTTTTGTCAGTGTGGAGACCATAGTCTTAAGTGAAATAAACCAAACATACAAGCTTAAATATCACATGGTTTCTTACATGAGTAGCCCAAACTATAAACAGAGAGCAAAAGAAAAGATAAATACAATGATAGGATTCATGGAGGTAGATCTCAAATGAGAAGGAGATCAAGACATGGAGGGAAGAGGGAAGGAAAGGAAGGAAAGGGACAAGAGATGAAAAAGGAATTGGGATTAGTTATGTACATGTACCAACTCCACACTAGGAATGTAAAACATTGCACACTACAAACATGTACAAAGAAAGGAAGTAATTAAGAGATGAGTGAAAGGGAAGGGAGGGGAAGGAAAGGGGAGAAAAGGAAAGAGGATGAAAAAGAGGAAGATATATGTTTATTAATCAATTCCATACAAGGATACAAACATTATGTACTACAAACATGTACTGATAATTTTTTTTTAAAAGAGCTACATACCACAAATCCTGAGTGACTTCATTTGCTTCTGTACCACCAAATGGTCTGATGTATAGAGAAATTCACCTGGGAATTTAAAATGAAGGGCTGTGAGAACAGTGTTACCTACTCTCAACAGGAACAGCCAGAGATTCAACACAGTGTGCTCCTTCCACTGGCTTTAGGTTTTCTTGGTAGGTGAGAACTCTGCCAGTCTTTGTACTGGTTGGACAGCTCCTAGAAGGAAGGGGATCCCCAGGGCCCACCTATGGAGGAGGGCCAGGTAACGTGGCCAGCTAACAGTGCAGACCCTTCCCAGTGCCAAGAGAACCTTCCACTGGGGCATCTCCTCAGGTCACAGAAAAGGGGTCACCAAGCCCACTGGAGAGAGTTCTCAAGCCCTACCCCTTCTCCACAACCTCCAGGCCTATATCAGCCTTTCCAATCAACTCGCCACCTCTCACAAATGTTTCCATATCCTTAAGCTATTGCCATTTCTGTCTCCACCACTATGTTCTTCCTCTTGAATGTACCCAGCCCCCAGACTCATTCTCCAGACCCAGCTCCATCCCGTTGACTCTCTTTAACACCTCAATGCATTCCCAGCCTCTCAAGTTCCTACTCCCTATTTTATTCCTATCCTTCTTTCATTTGCATAGTCCTGTACAGAGACCTGTCCTTGAGCAAGTCAAACCCTTTAACCAACACCCCACCATTAAGCTCCTCTCCTTATTCCAATGTTCAATGGAAAAACTTCCTCAGGTTTTTCTTTCTCAGACCTGGAGGAGGCACCCCACTTACTATTTATCTTGACCATGGTCCTGCTGTTGATATCAAATCTGGGCCAACTCTCCTTCTCTTTATGAGAAACCAGCTCTACTCTTGCAGTAACTCAGTCTCATTCCCCTGGTCTAGTCTAACTCTATTGACTGGACCAGGCAGGGCAGCCTTGCCATGAAGGCCTGATCTGCCACGTGAAAGGCACAGGAAGGTTGACTTTATCTTCAGCCTCATCTTCTGCATCTCACTTTCCTCCAGACCTGTCCTCCCTAGTGAGAGCCCCTTCTCTTGGCTCAGACCTAGTTCCTGGTAACAGCGGGAAGGAGGTGTGTGGGAACAGGTAGGCCATCCCAAGGCTGCTATAAATAGCTGCTAGGGAGTGATGAGGCTGGGTTAGATGTTCAGTATTGGGGCTCCCAGCACAGGACAAACCTCCTGCCTGCTTGCAGTAGAGAATGTCCCTGTCCCACTGTAGTTCTACTGTAGCTCCTTCTGCTTTCCTGTGAGTCTGTCCAGAATCCCCAGTCAGGACTGTGTCTCCTGTGAAAGGACTGTGTCCTTGTTCCTTTCAAGGACTTCTTGGCAAGCAGGGCAGAGGTCTGTGGTCTGGTCCATTTGCAGAGGAAAGGGGTTTCTGCCCCTTCCTTTGGGTCTCCCAGGGCTTTCTTCAGCATAGGTGATCTGTTTTGGTGCTGGAACTCCTTTCCTTGAGGAACTCAGCCAACTGGTTGTGGTGCCAAGAACAGCTTTTGTCTGTGCAGTGAGGGGTGGAGACAGGATGAATGGCAAGAGAAGTGTGCAGAAAACATGGATTGAGTCCCAGTGTGGAGCTAGGGAGGGGGCAGGAGTAGGAACAGGGGTGGTTTTAGTAGTTCAGGACTTGGATCGTGGCACCAGAAGCTTCATAGGAGAGAGGGTATTAGCAGTGGAATCTGACAGACCTGAGTTGGCGTCTGCTTTGTCCTATGGAAGCTGTGTCTGAGGGCACAGAGCATACACCTCTCTGTGCCTGGGCCTGCTTATCTGAAGCACAGAGCTGATAAGGCCTTCTGCTGAGGATGTTTTAAGGATAAACTGAGAGGCTGTGTGTGAAGATCCTAGTTAGCACCTTGCGCTTGGTGTGCCCTATGTCAGTTTCAATCTTTTCCACTGGAGCTAGGGCTTGAGTTGAGATGAGACTGTGCAAAATTAGTATCTGAAATGAAGGTGATTCTTTCATCATAATGCTTCTGGAAAAATCCAATGAAATAATACATCTAAAAATATAACACAATCCAATGATATAACACATCTAAAATATATATATTTGAACTTCTGGGCTTTGGGCATAGGTTTCTTTATCCCATTTCCTTCTACATTTCGAAATAGCTTTACTGAGATTCAGTTCTCACACCACATAAGCCAGACATTAGAAGCACCAAATTCAGTGGTTTTTAGTGTATTCAGAGTTGTGAAACCATCACTACAATCAACTGTAGAGCATTTTCAGCTCACCCAGAAGAAATGTGATACTTTTCAGCCATTGCCCCTCTTTCCATCTTCCTAGCTCCAGGCTATGGCTAATCTGTTGTCTGTCTCTGGAACTGTCTATTCTGGACAACAATTTGTATAAATAGAAAAGTCAAATATGTGGTCTTTGGTAAGTGGCTTCTTTCACTTAGCATGATGTCCGAGGGTCACCCATGCTCTAGCATGTATCTTAGTTGTTTTCTCATTGTGAAGACACAATATCCGATGCCCACAAGTTAAGGAGGAAAGGTTTATTTTGGCTGACAGTTTGTAGAGATTTCAGTCCATAGCTGGGTGGCTTCCAGGCGGGGCAGCATGGCAGAAGAACATGGCAGAGCTTGTGATATGGGGATGAGAAGCCAATAGAAATCAAAGGAGGATGGAGAAAGAGAGACCCTGCTAGGTCACACCCCGCCATGGCCCACCTCTCTCCAACACCACATTTAGGTATAAAATCATTGTTGAACTACTCTACTCATGAGTATTACATTCCTATGATCCATGCTCCAATCACCTCCCCAAATCCCCAACATAAAGTTTTGGAGAGATATCTCAATATAAACTATAACAACAGGTATTAGCACTTATTCCTTTTGATGGCTAAATAATGTACAGTTTTTTAATTGTTCAAAACTTATTGTAAATAAAAAATCATTAAAGCATATACATAAAAATATTAGCTATGGAAGAACAAAATTAAATAGCATCTTATTCCACATTAGAAAGAAAAAGAAAAGGACCAAGTGTGTAAGAAACTAGGCTAATTACAGGACTGAAAGAAAAGATCTGTCCTCTTTGAATTTTATACTTAGCAAACATACCTTTGAAAACTAAAAGTAAGATTTTCTAGTTATACAAACTTGAAATATTTTAATACCTCCAGAAGTAGCATATATGAAATAGCAAAGATCATAATTCAAAAGGCAAGAGAAGTTGCAGTGTGCTCCTGGGTGAACAATAAAGAGCTCTCAATATGATAGTTATGCAAGACTATATAATATATATTAGATGAAACCTTATTTAAAGGTAATTGATGTGTTGAATGGTCTACGAGGAATAAGATTATAATAAACCACACTTGCAGGGGGAAGAAAACATAGTTCTGAGTCTAGTAGTGATAAAGGATGCAATTTAAAGTTTTAATTAATTGAATGTTGTGGCCATAGTTACTCAGATGCTTTAAGACAAAAGTAGCTATAAGATGCTGTTAGACATTTAGACTGTCCAACATGACTTCTTATTAAATTTTAAAACTCATTCCTGGAAATCAGTCTCCTTAACTTTATAAAGAAGAATATATTTTTATTTTCTATGTCATATAAAAACATTTTCAATCAGTTTCCAAATCTCAAAGTTAGTGTTATATTTTATTCTTAAAAGAAAATGTAGTAGTGTATATATTTTGTATTTCAGTATGCTAAGTGTCCTTGTGTGTGATTAGTTCTGTTTTGCATAAGAAAATCATGGTATAAATAACCAGTAAGTCTGGCTGTAAAATACATTGCAGCAGCTTTACCTGCTTCATTTAAGATAATGTTGAAGTATTTGCTGTTTCTTAAACATGCATGCCAGTGTATGCTGTACTCCAGTTGTTTGCAGGTTAATGAGGCAAGAAAATGTGCAAATAAATTCCCCAAAGCTCTTAAAAAATAAATAAAGGTCATTGAAGATTTCTATGAAACAGTACCAATCAATAATGTACAGTTTTAATGGATATAACGTATTTTGTTTATTCAGTAAATAGTTGATGACCATTTGCCTTTTACCCTTTTTTGGAGAGTATTATGAACAATGTTGCTCTAAACATTTCTGTACAAGATTTTGGTGGATATAGGCTTTCCTCTCTTTTAGGTGTACTCTCAGGAGTGGAATTTCTGGGCCATGAAACTACATTTAACCTTTTGAGGAACAGCCAGTCAGTCAAGTTTTAAGAGTGGCTGTGCCATTTTATATTTCAACTAGAAATGGATGGAAATTTCAACTTTTAATCCACACAAACAGTTACTATCTGTTTTCTTTTTTAAGAGTAGAAAGATTTACTGGAGAGAAGGAATGGGAAATAAGGATGGGGGAATGAGGAACAGGAATAGCTCTTGAAAGACAGGAGTGGTCTCAAGTGGGTTGCCAATGAGCCCACCTCTCAAAGGATGTTCTATAGTGCCAAATCATGAGGTGGGTACAAGATGGGTCAAAATTATTATTGATCAATAAGACTGGAAGTATAGTCGCTTAGGTAATATTGATCTAATGGTAGTAAGGGTACATCGGCGCCATCATTAACTCTGCAGTTTGAATCTTGTCTTTAGTCTTAGTGATTTTAGTCTTAGTAGGTGGAAGAGGATGGCTCACCCCCAGTGAGATAATGTGAACTCTTAAAAAAAAGGGTGATACTGGTAATCCCAAGATTCCATTCACTCCCTAGGGAAGTATGTAAAGCTAGTCATTGTGACTTGAAGCTTCAGATGCATCTCTAGCTACACTCCTGACAGATTCTCATCTTTAGCACTGACTGTTCTGTCATGTCTTAGCCTTTGAATCTCACAGGTTCTTGCTTGAGCTTCTATCCGGGCTGTCATTTCCTGCATGTTGCCACTTTGCTATTAGTGAGATCACAGGTGCTGGACTCAATAATATTCTTGTAGCCAGGCAAGGGACATTTGTGTTAATACAGCCAGATTTGCATATCTCAGTGAATCAGGTGAAGGTGAGGTCTGGAACAGGTCAAGGCAAAGGCTTTGTTTCTCAGAAGGGAGCAGTGTGGTGGTCTTCCACACATCATGATATTATCTTTGAAACACATTAAATGTCTATCTTAGGATAGAATAGTCTTTTTTAATGTATTTAGTATAAGGTCTACAGGGTTTCACAACACAGATCAGACTTGTAGTGGTCCTCCTGTTTTCAGCCTCCCAAGTGCTGGGGTTACAGGTGTGTGCCACCACGCCCAGGCTCAGTCACACACTTAGCATGTCCCAGGGGTGGGGAGAGCATGGCATGCGGGGGGTCGAACCCAGGTCCCTGAGCCTACCTAAGCAGGCACTTTAGTTCACTGAGTTATTTGGCTGGTTATAGAAGAGTCTTTTTTTTTTTTTTTCGTGGTACCTGAGATTGAACTCAGGACCTGTGCTTGCCCGGCAAGTGCTTATTCCACTGAGCCATCTCCCCGGCCTTTAGAAGAATCTTTTTAGTCAAGCATCTCTGTCTGATCACAAGGCATTAAATTACACAAGGAAACTCTTACCTAATTTGTTATCCCTTAATAGGATGTCATTTAAGAAGAATGTACTGTCTTATAAGTATAACTTAGAAATTTATAATGTCCAGCTTCTAATTTTAGTATGTGAAATTATTTGGTGCCTGAGTTGCCCTAAGTGTAGTGATATAACATAGACAAAAGCTTTTATTTTTTATTTTTATTATTTATTATTTTTTATGTATGTGGTACAGGGTTTCACTACACAGCTTGGACTCATAGTGAATTTCAGCCTCCCCAGTGCTGGGATTACACGCCCGGACTCAGTCGCTGGCTCAGCGCACCCTGGAGGCAGGGCCAGCGCAGCATGTGGTACAGGGAAGGCACTTAGTCTGCTGAGCTATCTTGCCGGCCCAGCTTTTATTTTTAAACTATCATCTGACTGGTGGTCTCATGCTGGTTTGACATATATCTCTTATTACGAGTAGCTGGAGCACAAAAGAAAGTTAGATATTTGAGTCTAAAAAAGGTTGTCACCATAAACAATGTTAGTTTAACATCTTAGAAGACCTATACAACAAAAAGACATGGATATATTTAGTACACCATGAGCTTAACAATAGTGAAAAAAATAATGACTGTTATACCTGTGTGGGAACCTGTGTTTCTTAATTTAGTTTTGTGGCCAGAACATCTTTTAATAAGAAAATTGTATTGCTTTACCCATAGAAAACTTAACCTTCTTGTCGGAGCTGCTGCTGTTGAGTCCAGATCTGAGAAGCGTGCACCCTGACACTCGCCCCACATGCATTCCCGGTTCCTTGTGGTTCTAAATCCAAGACGCTCAAGGCCAGTCTCAAGGATCATCTGATTGTGAATCTCCTTAAGGAGGAACAGGTGCCTCAGAATAAGATCAGGGTGTCAGGGTTGGTGCTGTTGGCATGGCCTGTGCCATCAGTATCTTAATGAAGGACTTGGCAGATGAACTTGCTCTTGTTGATGTCATGGAAGACAAATTGAGGGAGAGATGATGGATCTCCACCATGGCAGCCTTTTCCTTAGGACACCAAAAATTGTTTTTGGCAAAGACTATAATGTAGCCGCAAACTTCAAGCTGGTTATCATCACCGCTGGAGCACATCAGCAAGAGGGAGAGAGCTGCCTTAATTTGGTGCAGTGTAATGTGATTGTCTTCAAGTTCATCATTCCTAATGTGAAGTATAGTCCCAACTGCAAGTTGCTTGTTGTGTCCAACCCAGTGGATATCTTAACCTATGTGGCTTGGAAGATAAATAGCTTCCAAGAACTGTGTTATTGGCAGTGGTTGCAACCTGGATTCAGCCCGGTTCCGCTACCTGATGGGGGAAAGCCTGGGTGTGCACCCACTGAGCTGCCATGGCTGGATCCTTGGGGAGCACAGAGACTCCAGTGTCCCTGTGTGGAGTGGTGTGAATGTTGCTGGTGTCACCCTGAAGAATCTGCACCCTGAGTTGGGAACTGATGGGGATAAGAAGCACTGGAAAGAGGTTCACAAACAGGTGGTTGACAGTGCTTATGAAGTGATCAAACTAAAAGGCTACACATCCTGGGCCACTGGACTGCTGGTGGCAGATTTGGCAGAAAGTATAATGACGAACCTTAGGAGGGTACACCCAATTCCTACCATGATTAAGGGGCTGTATGGAATCAAGGATGATGTCTTCCTTAGTGTCCCTTGTGTCCTGGGACAGAATGGGACCTCTGATGTGGTGAAGGTGACTCTGAGTCCTGAGAAAGAGGCACATTTTAAGAAGAGTGCGGATACCGTGTGGTCGATCCAGAAGGAGCTGCAGTTTTAGAGTCTTCCAGTGTCACCACATCACTGTCTAGGCTGCAGGAGGGTTTAGCTGGAGTTGTGCCAGTTGTCCTTTCTATCTGACATGTGATGAAAGCAGCACTCTTAAGATGGCCTGGGAAAGCATCAGCTTCCGGAAGTTAGAAGTAGAAACAGTTCACAAAGCCCCACAGCTCTGTCTTGGTGCCAGATGCTGCTGAACCTGTAGTCCTGGTTACCATGAAGTAGCCCAGCATCCCAGACACCTCACTGCACAGGCTCCAGTTACTCTTCAGACAGATGTGTGTTACTTGGTTACACAGCTTCACCCACCAAGCCTTGTCTGACCTTTCCCCAGTTAGCACAGCCTGGGATCCGGTGTACAAATCCAATACTACACATCTTGTGCACAACTATCTTAAAGGATTTTATCTTGTGATATATATATATATATATATATATATTTATATATATATATGCAGTGTACATTGCCATATAATGTAAAAAGATCTACCTGTGAGCAGTGCAACCCAGTGTCACACCAACTATAATACCAAATAAACTTTGAACAGTGGCTACTGTTAAAAAAAAAGAAAACTTAACCTTTTGATGATAACCAATAATAAACATATTACAATAATATGTTCAGTAGCATTTATTGGAATGTGTCTCATTTAAGGCTATGGAAATTATTAGTGTCCTATTAAAGGAAAAAAGGACAAGAACAAAATATTTTCAGGAAGCTGCCACTTCTTCACCAAGGGGAGTCTTTTCCAGCAATTTCTCTAAGCCTAAGGGGACATTAAATGATCATACATTTTTAATGTCATATGAGAACAAGATCATAACAATTAGCACATTATTTTTAACCACTGAGTTTTTTTGAGTTATTGCATTCAGACAACATGTAAAACAAGTGTTGACATCATTTTGATCAGTTGGTATGTCCTTAGCTCTAATGACATCTATAAACCAACTTAAGTTATAGGCAAATACTTTAAAAATCTAAACAGACAAAAATTAAAAAAAAATTGGGCTCAAACCAAAATGGTCTAAGTGTTATAATCAGTCACAAATTGAACAGACAGGCCAGGGAGATAGCTCAGTGGCATAAGTGCCTTCCTGGCAATCATAAGGTCCTGAGTTTGATCCCTGGTATGAGGCCTGAAAGACAAACAGGAGACGCCTCAGACTCAGTAATAGCAGAAAATGCTTTGTTTAAGGTTTTCTTGGAAACCTTATCCTCAGTTTCCAAAGATCTAGGGAGAGTAGCCTTGTGCTCAGTGACAGTGGATGCTTCAAGGGCTAGAGGTGTCTGGTTTTCCTGTGGCTCATGTTTACATTGGAACACAGGCAAGGATTATTTCTTTAGTGCAAAGAAAGCCTGAACATAAGATCATATTTTCTTTTTCCCTCTTTTTATTAAACTATACTCCTAGCTGTGAAATGATATTATAATCAACATTCCCTCTGAATTCCTTAGAGCTAGAAGATAAACTTTTGAGGGTTGAAACTACACTAGCAATCAAAAAGTGAGTTGGATGTATTTGGCACACTTCTCAGGTGACAGGACATAACCTCTCCTGCAAAGAGATAGGCTGGTAAAAAATGGCTTGGAGAAAAACCCTGCCCTGGGCCCTAGGGTGAAGTAGTCTCTAAGACATTCCTGTTATCTACCTAATCACCTAAACAACTTCTTTTTTCTTAGCAGCAAGACAAGGCTGTATTTTAAAAATTTGAAACAATTTATATCTCTGAAGCTCACAGGTGAAACTTATATCCATCGCCTAGCAACCACAATTTACATGATAGAAAAGGCACCTTTGTTAGTCTTTTTTTTTTTTTTTGGCAGAACCGGGGATTGAACTCAGGTCCTTGTGCTTGCCAGTCAAGCGCTTATCCTACTGAGCCATCTCCCCGGCCCCCTTTGTTAGTCTTTTATGTACATGTGAGAGAGAAGATTGGAGATTATCCCTTAGGCTAAATGAATCTTGGTTCCTTGGTGTGGTGCTTTGGAAATAGCTCCTTCTGCTTTCACCTAGAACTCAGTTCTTTCCAGTGTTTCAGGTTCAGTCTCCTGGGGAAGACTGTTGCCTACAAGACTAAGCTGGGATATGGCTTTTATGTGCAATATCTTGGATAGACAAAATTCTCCATCATCTTTTTTTTTTTTCAGAACTGGGAATTGAACTCAGGCCCTTGCACTTTCCAGGCAAGCACTTATTCTACTAAGTTATCTTCCTGGCCCCCAAAGTTCTAATATCTCATCTGAACCAGAGAAGGGGTATGTGACCCTCATCTTAGATGACTTCCCTACCTTTGGCATTAGCAAACACTCATTCTGTGGGCTTAGCTTAAAGATTCTTTATTGTTTGGCAAGAAGAAATGTTGAGGAAGTTTAGGGTTCCCATCTCTCTAACCTTGCCTGAAAAAAGGAAAGTACAAAGTGGCAGGAAAAGACCAGAAATGAGATCAGAGAGAGGAAGTCTTTTCTTCCTCTCATGGTAAGTTATTGAAACAACTTGCACATGAGCTGTCATTCTCAGCCTGGAAAGGCAAGAATGGGGAATCTCAAGAGC